TAATGTATGGTGATGTTAGCCATGTCTAATCTGTAGAGACCTTTCAGTTTCTCATTCAACACACCCACGTCCGTCCAAAGCTAATTTGATTTCGCTCGGACCCGGCTCAAGCCGATTCTAAGTGAAAGAGGCCAACTGTTATGGTGTTCTCATTCGCCAAAGTGCAACTTATTGTCAAGCAACGGACATGTGTATTTCTGCATGTCATCCCCCAATCAAGTTAGCAGCCAGAGACTAGTGAAGATTCCAACTTAGCTAACTTGTTGAGTCGATATTCCTTAATGTCGACTCGAAAGGTGGTACCAGTCGACCCTCTTGTCAAAGACGACTCGTCATGAGCCCACTCAACTAGATACTTGACACCTTATGAGGATGACTCGAAAGGCATTACTTCTCGACGAAGCTAAAGAACAACTTCTACCTCGAGCTTCTCCCACTAGCAACGTGTCAGCATCGTATTTAATGCATGACAGGTGCATCATGCCTCTATCCCTGATAGCCTTCATGACTCATCATACCACATATGCACTGTCATACCTCCGATCACTTCCCACTTAATGCTGAGCTGATCGCTCATCCAGTCGCCAGCTGACACCTATAAAGTATGTGCTAAATCAGCCACCAACCTACACTTCGCCACCGCCATCCTATGTTCGGTCGAAGTGACTGATCTACCCCTATATCCTCGGTATAAATAGAGGTACTATTCTAACTTAAAAAGGATCTTTTTTTAGGTTCAAAAATCTAATCTTTAAGCAGACATATTGCACATACTAGAACACTCACAGTTCTTTACTTTCCCCACTCAAGCTCACTAGCTGACTTGATCGTCAGAGGAACCATGGGGGACCCAAGCCCCATCCTCTTACGAGTTTCTACTCGTGTAGATTTCTCAGCCACCCTACTCAGAGTAGATATAAAGTCGGAGAAGAAAGTGACTCATCATCAATACTCAACAATCTCATCCAACAACAGATACAATTGACTGTATGATCAATAAAACATCCATATATATAAGTATGAAACTGATCAAAATCGGAGCCCATGTATCTCATCTATCTAATATACTTAAGTAATACCTGAAGATGCCACTTGGCAACTTCTTAAACCGTTTGGCTACACTTGGCAACTTCATAGAACATTTGGCTATTTGTCTTCCATTTTGCCAATTTTATAACAACTGACAAACGTTGGATAAAAAAATAAAATTAAGTTTATTCTTGGAACCTATTTATTTCCAATTGAAAGTTATGGTTACAACAAACTCAATTGAAGATAGCGTTCACCTTGCTCTTTGATTCTTTATTCTCACTAAACGTTCTCTTCTTAATTAAAAGCAATTAAATCTTTTCAATTAAGCTCTCTGTATTTTAGTTGCACAATTTTAAAGGCCAGCCATGCACCTCTCTTTATCCATAATTCATCTGAGATTGAAAGCGCTTTCAAATTATGCCAACTTATGTTTTCATTTTATCAAGCCTTTTCCCCCCCTCACTCTCAATTTGACTTTTCAATTGTCAATCTTACAACATCTCTTGGATGCCTAATATCATTTCTTGAAATAGTTTCTCACTCATTCCCAATTCAAATATCAAAAGAAATGTGCTTTATTGTAAAATAGTTCAACGTTATTTATCAAAGTTAGAAGTCCGGCATTTCTTTTTGGAGGATAAGCAACACGCATCTTCGATTTTATATAAATTGGAGATGGACGGTTCAATTTTACCGGAACACGCAGTGACAAGATTTACACGGCTAAGGTTCATGATTTATTTTTAGTTCACTTAGATGATTTTTTTGCATTAAAAATGAGATTTTTTTTTTTTAAATTTGTGGAGTTCTTCCTAGATCTTTTAAACAAGAAATAAAAAGTTATATCAGTACTATATATAAAAGGAGTGGTGTTAGGGGCACATCACCCACCACAACCCCAACCACACTCCCCCCTCTTAATGCTACAGTAAACCGGGCCTCACATGGGATTTTAAAAAATTTAAAATCCCATGTGGGGCCTGGTTTACTGTAGCAATAAGAGGGGGAGCCTCACATGGGATTTTAAAAAATTTAAAATCCTATGTGGGGCCTGGTTTACTGTAGCAATAAGAGGGGGAGTGTGGTTTGGGTTGTTGTGGGTGGTGTGCCTCTAACATTATTTATATAAAAGAGCCTAATTGCACACAACTTGCTTCTTATCAAGTGGGGCCCAACTTAGACACCCAACCTATTTATCCCATGGCAATCTATTCAAGCTTTTGTGTAAAAAGATCATGGGACAAATTTGCCCTCATAACTTACAACAATTACAAGCACTGCCACCTAACAGCTCACAGCTCCAACTCTCATATCCAATATCCAACAAAATGAACAAGATATGAGGATGGTGGTGTATGCATGTATTAAGTAGCACCGCGAAGATATTCAACCAAACAAGACTTAACTTCAGTTTTGTACCCAAAGTTTGCACGCTTTCATCACTTTGATACCATAAAGTATTTTTCTTGCACTTTTATACCTTTATTTCACTTTGATATCCCAAAGTATTTTTAAGACTTGATACTCCCAAGTTTTAGTCACATTCACATTGATACCCATGTCAACCTTCCATTACTTTGTCCGTTAACTTTGTACTATGTGCTTAGAGACTTGGTTAAAAATATACAAATGTATCATACACTAATCGCATACTAAGGGTGTGATATGAATTTAACGAAAATTCTAGCTAATAGAATATGAAGGTACAAAAGTGAAATGCGATTGAAACTTTAAGCAAAAGTGAATTGCGATTGAAACTTTAAGGTATCAAAGTGTTCAAAAATATATTAGGGTACCAAACTAATATGGGATCAAAGTTAAAAGTACTTGGAGACTTCAAAGTTAAAAGTACGTAAACTTTGGGGGTAGCAAAGTGAAAATAAGTCACTAAATAGCCAAAAGGAATTCTTCTATTTTAATACCTTACATGTTTACATTTAGTTAGTCCTTCAAATAATTAAAATGGTTATTAAGTCCTCCAATTCTTAACCTATTTTTAAATTAGTCCCTCAAATCTTTAAAATTACTATTACGTCCTTTGATTTTTAAATCTATTGATATTTCAAATCAAGAGTAGACTTAGCAATTATAGTAATCTATTTGGGATCTATTTGAAACAACCTATGAGAATTGAGGGGCCTACAGAAATGTCGACGTCTAATTTTTAACAATTATCTATGTTTCTTTACATAAACAAATTAATTCCTCATTGGCTGTGCTATTTGGGAACCAAATTGAAAATAAGCCACCAAAATAACCAAAAGGCTTGCTCTATATTAGTCCCTAAAATCAACTTTCAAATCATTAAAACTATTATTTGGTCCCTCAATTCACAAGCTATTTTAAAATTAGTCCCTCAAAATATTAAATTTATTACTAGCTCTCTTGATTCTTTAGTTACTTTGAAGTTAGTCCTTCAAATCAAGAATAGAATCAACAATTCAAGAAATCTATTTGAAATAAATTATGACAATTAAGGATGTAACAGAAAGTTCAATATGGGACAACTCTTATGGAGTATGCCAGTGCAATGCACGGGCTCTCTAACTAGTATACACAAATACAATGTGAAATTTCTATATATTTTTAATTCCTATATATTTTTAATTTCTACCTTACTATGGTGGTATAATGTATCTCATATACATGTATCTCATACACCTCTATCTCATATACACATATACAACGTGAAATTCCTATATATTTTTAATTCTATACTTGAATTATAAAGGCATTTAATATGAAATTTCTACCTTACATTTGAAAAGTACAAATCATAATTTCGTAATGCCTTACATTTTAAAGTACAAATATAAAAATATTTGCAAGAAGAATAAGACTGCAGAAAATCACTAACATAACCACATAAATTTTACCAATTTCTATTTGCTGATTTCAATCTTTAACTGTTTCTTCAAAAGTTTGACTTTCCTTGCATTTTTATCTTGAATTGGTTGCTCTTTAGGATTTGCATTGCATTTCTTGTTTTCCACTTGATCTTCAGCATACAAAAAATAATTGCAAGGCTTGTTTGGGTATTTTCCACACTCCCAAAAGTATTTTCCTTTATTCTTATCATTCTTGCATGTCTTCAATGGTGTTGAGATTTTGCAAAAACAATGAACCTCCTTTGTCTGCGACACTTGTGATGAAATCACATTAATGTGATTTTGGATAATGCTAACTATCTCTTTGTTTTGAGCAAGATTCATAATGGCCAAATTTGTTTTAGTGCTCATACTTATATATTGGACAAATTTTCAAAATCAACCATTTTCGAAATTTAAATAGCAAAACCGACCTCTTCGAAATTTATTCAGCAAAACCGACCTTTTTCTTTTGAAAAGGGTCGGTTTTGCTGCGGAAAATTTTTTACGACATACACGGGACTGCTAGTCCCGTGTATTTCGTGGCAGTTTCGAATAACACGGGACTAGCAGTCCCATGTTTTTTGCAGAGACTAACATCTCTACAAAAATGAAGTGCACGGGACTGCTAGTCCCATGCATTTTGCAGAGACTCTATCTCTGCAAAAAAACAAGAGCACGGGACTGCTAGTCCCGTGCACTTCTTGGGCGCAATGAAATGCACGGGACTAGCAGTCCCGTGCATTTCCTGCACATTCACAACTATGCATGCATTTCTGCTACGGGATAATTCCCTATACAAACTCATATTTCAAATGCAACAATCATAAATTACACCATTGCATAAACACATATATCAATTCCCTGTACAAACTCATATGTCAATTCCCTGTATAAACACATATCAAATCTAAAAATCATAAAATACACCACAAACTTACGAATCCAAATCCAACAAATCACGCCACAAACCCACTTACAAATCTAATAAGTCACACCACAATCTCAGCTACAAATCCAAAAACCGTATATTGTCCCGAAATACGTTTGTAATGTACATATCAAAATAGGATTGTAATTTATATAACAATATCGATTAGCTTACATACATCCAAGAACTCTTCTCCTCCTCCTTTGTCTTCGGCCTCCTCTATCCCGACCTTCGATGAGTTCATGATCCGGTTGCGTTTGTGGTTGTGACGGTCCAGCTCCATCGTCAACACGTTGGGAAGGCCCAGCTTCATTGTCGTTTCTGCGTCGTCCTCGTCTGTGTCGTTGTTGACGTGTGTATACTAATTGCGCTACTTCTCGTCCATCATGAAGGTCTTCATGAGTTCGATGTAAGGCTTGGTGAAGCCTCTGCATTATCGACTGATATATTGATGCATGTTTCTGTGCTTCGGGATATGTACCTGCGAGAGATAATTCAAAAAAATCCGAAATGCAGAAATTACTTTAAAATTCAAATTACAATATGTAAATTTTATATTTAATTCTATATTACCTGCTCGAGCCAATTCCAAGCCACTATTTGCAATGGTTTGAACATCATCTATTGCTGATACCTGCAAATTTTTAAAAAAACATAATTTAGCAATATTGAAAAATACTAATAAAAATGAATAAATTTGAAAATACTTACTAATTCTCTCTCATCTATACCCCGAGGCACATATCCTCTTTGCAACTCAACCGGGGACGTGGTCGCATGGAGTATCCATCTTCTAGTTATCCTCCAATACCAAGTGTAGTAATCTGATTCCTGGGGAGTTGGCTCGATTTGCTCAACAATACAAAAATGTCTATCATTCCATCTGTGTATATAATTTTGATGCTCAGCTGCCCAGTCCTTTTGTTGGCCTCCTTTCTTCGCCTTCCTCTCTATTTTTTCAACAAATTGCGGAACATGTTGTGCAAGACCAAATTGTCGAAGCACGCGGTCCGGTACATGCATTTCTACTATCTCGAAACATATTAGAGGAACTCTGGCTCTCCATATAACTGGGTATTCTGTGCATATCGGGGGTAGATGATCGAGAAATGGGGTGTAGGGCTCCCATTCCATCTACAGAGTATTACATATAATTGTTGCATATCATTAAAACGAAAGTTGATATATAGAAGAAAAAACTCGTTTTTATAGAAATGATACCTGAAAAATCTTCATGCGGTCAAGCTCATTTCGGTAGAAATCTAACTGTCTCGCCGGGGTCTCGTCAAAACATTTTTGGACATTCCATCTGTGTTAGTTTCAAAATTCAGTACCAAATGAATAACTACAATTATATTTACTACGTTAAAAAATATAATACCTGCATCCTAGTGGAATTTGTCTGTCTAATTGTAAATTCACCAAGAGAATGCCCACTTAAATGTTGTAGTTGACACCACGGCTCTTGACTTGGAGATGTCATAAAACCACTCAACTCATTGTCTAAGTCCATCATCCGAGAAAACTCTCCTTGTGGTCGTGAAACTTGGGCAAATTCTTGAATCGGATACTTCTCAATGAACAACTCAACTGACACTTGCTTCTCCACTAATTGTTTCATGTCATTCAATTCTTCATCGTCGGTAATCGCCACAGCAATAGTTCTACTCTCATTTATCGGACAATTGAAGAACACTTTAATTGCATACCATGCTTTATTAATTTTCGTAACTCTGTGTATTTCATTCATCATTCCATCAAAATTTAATGACTTGGATAGCATAAACATTTTCCTAGAACCTCCCTCATACATCGGCATACTATTCAATCCGACGCCGAGGCTCCCATTGAAGAAGCAAATAATGGGTATAGAGTTTGCCATCGAAGCTGAAAATCAACAGTCCATCATATGTAAATAATCTATTATAACTGTAAATATTAATCTTAATTTAAAGTCAAATTTAAAACCCTAATCTCAACTACAAAGCAAATAATGGCTAAATTCCCTAATCCCAAATCACATTATTCATGTCTAAACCCTAATTATGGTTAAACCCTAATCTCAAATCACATTATTCATATCTAAATCCTAATCATGTCTAAACCCTAATCACATTATTCATGTCTAAACCCTAATTCCCTAATCTCAACTAAATACATTCCTAAATTTCAACCTTAATCCCAAATCTCAATTAAATCCATTCCCAAATCTCAACCATAATTCCCAAATCTCAACCCAAATCCATTCCCAAATCCGAAATTTCATGGCTAATCAAAATAAAAAAAACAAAATTTACCTTGGTCGCCGGCGGCGGTCAGAGCGAACTTGGTCGGCGGCGGCGGTGGTCGGAGGGCGCTTGGTCGGCGGCGGCAGTGGTCGGCGTCGATGGGTTTGAGGAGAGGGTGAAAGAGGTGGGGTAAAAGGGTTTAGGTGAAAAAAAGTTCGGTCAAGAGGAAGAAACTCACGGGTTGGTTTTTACCCCCGATTGCACGGGACTGCTAGTCCCGTGTTATTCGAAACTGCCACGAAATACACGGGACTAGCAGTCCCGTGTATGTCGTAAAAATTTTTCCGCAGCAAAACCGACCGAAAAGGGTCGGTTTTGCTGAATAAATTTCGAAGAGGTCGATTTTGCTATTTAAATTTCGAAAATGGTTGATTTTGAAAATTTGTCCTTATATATTTTGCTTGGATTATTTACCGTTGGGAACTTGTGACCGTTGGAGTGCTTTTTGAAACACATGAAACCAAGTATGATTTTCGCCCAACGACTTGTAATGTGCTTTGTTTTTCTGGGTGGTAACCTCACCAATGTGACCATTTCATACATATTTTTTTGCCAACCAAACTAAAGAAATACAGGAAATGATTTATCTCGTATTAGATATCTTCACCTTTTTTTTGATCCAAACACGAAAGGTGACCACCATATGAGTGACCTAGCTATTTCTATCCTTGGTTTCCATGATTTTCATGCGAAACAAACATAGCATAACTATTTACATAACATCCGTGGAAATGGCGAACAACAAGTTTTACTTATTGTTTTCAATTTCCATGTTTTTGTCAAAGCGAACCAAATGTGTCCTTAATGGGCCAATAATTGCAAAATTGAAATAAGCTAGGTTCTTTTCCGTAGGCTAAAAGGCCAATTTGCTCCTTGTACTAAGGATTCATACTCAAATTGGTCCATGCACTTTCTTTTTTCTCAAGTTAGTCTTGTACCTCTGTTTGTTGGAAAAATTCGATGTAAAAGAAAGAAAGAAATATTGACTTGTATTCTCTCTAAATTAATTACAGTTGGATTTTCTGATTACAAAAGAGAAGAGAACGAATTTGATTCTCCCATTTGTTTAAAACTGGGTTCTTCACGATGACGATGGAGTGCCTCCCTCGAATGCTCGCGTCGAGTTTGCTCTCCGTTGACGATCTGATCGTCTTTTATCTCGTGGGAACAATGAACTTCTGTGGAAAGTTTGATGGATAACTCTTTAACGAGTTTAAGAACTCTGAACGAGTTAGAACTCTGTGAATAGAGTTGTTAGAACCAAAGATTCGGTTGATGACCAAGCAGATATTCTGTTGTTGAAGAATCCTTTCAGATTTGATCTTCTGAACTCGATTCAAAAATCATATCTCCAAGGATTTCGTCTCCCCTGCCTCTCTGTGCGGTTGAGATCCTGAGGAACCTCCAAACCCGTACGGTTTAGATGCTGAAAATCCAACCTGCTGCCTCTCCGTTCCCAAAAAGCTAGCCCCTAACTCAGTTAAGTTTGTTGAGATTTTATAGGTGGATAAGAGGTTGTAACTGCCCTCTAAATCCACTCCTAAGTAGGCGTGATTTCCTCATATCGTGGGGAAAATAGTTCTGAAACCGTTTGACTCATGTTTGAACGAGTCAAACGCCCAATCTGGCGTTCAGAACCCCAACTTCGCGTCTTGGAATTGAGACGCGAGGTTGGGTGTTGACTGAACATCAATGAGCGCGAGGGTCGCTCGTGTTTTGCTTGTTGCAGCTTGGAAACGCTGGGGTCGGGTGTTGGTTGAACCTCAAGAACGCGAGGGTCGTTCGCTTTTGACTTGTTGTAGCTTGGAAACGCGGGGGTCGCCTGCACTTCCAGAATTGTAACGCAGGGATGACTTCCGCATTTTAAGAGAGGTTAGTTGATCTGTAACCTCTTCTACAGAGAGTTGCAAGGACCGTTGTTCAGTAATCCTAGCTTTAGCTGTTGTGGAGTGTGAAAGTCGTCAGATTGTAACTTTCACTGTAAATTGTGAAGACTGCTGAATAGAGTTTTCATCAGTTGTTGGAAGTGTCGTTGAATTGTAACTCTTCTCGATCTATGTGAAAAGTCCTCCGTTTGCAGCTTTCGTTTGTTAGCATGAAAGCTATTTGATTGTAGCTTTCATTGTTGGAACTTGATGGGGGATCAATTGTGATATTTAGACGAATATTTGCCCACAGCTCTCTACCAAGCAACTCACCAACTAAGTCCAACCTTTTATTTCTGAAATCATCATACTTCTCATCAGCATCTCTAATAGTTGCTAATATAATATTAGTCATGTTGTTGTCGCAGCCATCAAGATCAATCATCTCAAATATGAGGCCGTGTTTGTAGCGATTATAATGTCGCGAATGCAATGATTTAGAAATCTCTTCTGTTTTGATTGTAAGGATGAATTCTGCTTCTTGATTTAAAGGAACCATTGCCTTGTAATCTCGTGGGGATCAGCTATCCATTGTGATTTTTAGACAGCCTACAGAACCCCCTCCAAAGTTTTTAAAAGTTCGCGGTTGACTGGGACGAATTTTCGGAATACTTTGGATCCTAAAATTTAGTAGATTGATTGTTCGCTCCGTCTGATTTGAAGACATCGCGAAACTGGTTGTCGGAATGTTGAAATGTTGCTTCCTCGAACCAAATAAAACAGCTTTTGAGCCTTGATGATAATGAAGAATGAGGTGTGCTCCAAATCGAATCTGATGGTTTTAGCGTTGCTGATTGTAATCTGCCTGCACCCATCTGATAGACTCCCTAGTGGAGTCGCCTGTTTCTTCTCTATTTTGGTCACCTTGATGGCTGACCTCATTTTTTTTATTTGAGGCCGTGTCGTATCTCCTGTTGATCATCATGCGTGGGTGAACTCTGCGCTTGAGAGTTTGAACGCGTAGGTGAGCCTCGCGTTTGGAATTTTAACCAACTCGAACGCTAGGATCGAGTTTGGGCGGGATTCTGGCCTCGAATCCCGTCTGTTACGATTTGACAGCTCACAGCTGTCTATAAATAGACCACTGGAGGTCAAATCAAGAGTCATTCGACTCTTCTTGAAACTTTAACGAGATTTTCGTTCTCATCTCCGGCGAGCACTGTTCCTCTTCTCCTCCGACTAGACTCCATGGCACCCAAGAAGATTGTTCCTCGTCCCTCTAAGTCCGACGTTGCCGGGCCGGCGGCGCTACTGCTCAGGCGAACGTGCCGCCCCAACTTCCTTTGATCGGCGGTGAGTACGACATCTGTGGTCATTAAACTTGCTTCGGCAAGTTCTGATCTTTGTATCAACGAGGAAACTCGTTTCAACAACGCGGGGCTGGACTCCGTCGTTTGGTATTTTTGACGAGGGGTTCGACCTCCGCATCTTAGATTCTTGACGCAAGGCTCGACCTATGTGTCTGAACTTTTTGACGCGAGGTTCGATCTTCGCGTCTGAGCTTTTTGACGCGAGGTTCGACCTTCACGTCTGAGATTTTTGACGTGAGGTTCGA